CCATGCCAGATTGTAGCCCCGCCCGCAGTAACACCTGTGCTTTCCTCGTTCATTCTGACAGTACTGATCACATCCTCCGTTGTTTGATCCACATTCGTTTATATCTTGGCAATGCAGGAAAAAAAAACGTAAGAACATATATGCATGTAACAACCCTGTTTCAAAAGCACTGCTCGCATATGGACCCAACATATAGTCACATTCGGTCACATTCGTCGTATGTGAAAACCCATGTGAAAACATTAGTCACTTTCTGTTACACTGCCCTAACTACACTCAACAACGAAATACCCTTTTTGGCAACTTGAAAACACTGATTGGCTTTATTACTGACTTGGATGATCTTTCTGATGATATTCTGGTACATTTACTTTTAATAGGCTCTTCTTTTCTCTCAACAACGTACAATATTAAAATATTAAAACATGTACAGGTATTTTTGTTGGAATCAAATCGTTTTTTGTAACATAGTTTATTGATCAATCCTGTCAGCATTTATATATATCAGTTTCACTTGTTCATCGATTTATTATTGTATTCAATTTCAATATGTTAATCTGTGCTTTGCTTGTCGTATGTTTTATATATTGTCTGGTGGCGGCATGAATATAAGTGTAACTTGAGTGTGTCGCTACCGCGTCTTGCCAATATATGTTTCAACTAGAAAGGCCAATATTTGCTTTGGAGCAAATACAGCGATGGGTTCACCACATTTTACGACATGGCAGGGAAAGAATGAGAAACACAAGGGAAAACAATGATTTACATTGATATAACTATAATATGAAGTAAAATACAACTAAAACAACAGTTGGATAGCTATTCCCTACTTTATTGGTTAGGATTTTTAATTGCATAATGCAAACTGTTGATTTTCAAAATAAAAAAAAACGTCCATGCCCCGCATTCCAATGCTGGAGCAGGAAAGCTTGAAATACCTACCAAAACACTTGAATACAGACATACTGTCAGTATGGAAATGCTCTGTGCAGGTGTTAATCAAGTTAAATCCCAACAGCCAATCAGCAAGAAATGCTCTGTGCAGGTGGAAATGCTCTGTGCAGGTGTTGATCAAGTTAAATCCCAACAGCCAATCAGCAAGAAGAATAGAGGAAAGCTGCATGCCTATTGGTTGATGCCCTGCATTCCATTGTGATGACTCATGCCCAAACGTGGTAAACAAGGCACACTAACACAGTAATACATTTGCTATAACACAGCCAAAAAACTCAAATAAAACCATTCTAAAAGCCTGTATCACAATAATTTAAAAAACGCCTAGGGGTATTTGCCCACTGTACGAGTACCTCCATACCAAATTTCAGGACCTTGGGCCCTAAAATGAAGAAGCTGAATCCATTTAAAAAATGGCAGGAGAAGAAGAAGGAGAAGGAGAAGGAGAAGAAACATCAGAAAAAGCAATATGGGTTCACCACCACTTTGTGGTGTGGTGAACCCATAATAAAAAAAACATTCGTCGTAGGTAAGGCGATCTTGATATCGTAGATGCCAAACCAATAACCGTCGTTCCCGTAACAAGACAGTCGAATTTAGGACAAATAACTATTGCTCTATCTATTCTTATTCAAAAGCCATGCATATTTATGCATATGGTTCCAGCCCATCCAACTCTGTCTTGCTACATGATAAAACCCCAAACCACAGGGTGTCTGCTACAGCACCAGTTACCATGGCGACAGACGTCTGGTCCAGCTTATTGAACATATGTGTTTGGCGAAGAATAAACAGGGTTAAGGAAAAAATATAAAAATTTATCTACACACTTGCCATATACAAATTTTTCATTAGGACATAGGTATGAACTGGGTACTGACGGGTACATACCGACGCAGCGGTGGCGGTCTGTGTCCAACTTGTATCCTTCTTTACAAGAACATTTGTAACTGCCTTGAGTATTTTCACAATCGTATTCACAGGGGCCTCTATACAACGGCCATCCGACACATTCGTCAATGTCTGCAACGGAGACAAAAGCAAATCAGTATAAACAAGAAACAAAAGAACAGTGTTAACCGTATTGCGTATCAGATAATATATCTTATACATCATGATAAAACTGAATAAATGGATAAATAACTGTGTAAACCAAAGCATGGGGTTAGACACATATCTGGTCTAACTATATATGGAGAGAGACATAGCATTTAGTAATAACTAATTTCACCTGTGCAGGTCTTCTTGTTTCTGTCCAGTTTATAACCTTTATGGCATTCACAACGGTAGCCTCCATCGGTGTTCTTACATTTGTGTTGACAGCGATGGTTTCCCTTGCATTCGTCGGAATCTGTAACGAAGTACAGCATGGTTGGTCTGGTTGCTTCTCATCATCATTATTAGAAGTTTATCGCAAATCCATGCCCGAAGGCTAATCGCAAGTTACAAACAAAAAGGAACATTGAAGCAGAGTAGAAAATAACTTCACAATCTAGTACATAGTGAAAACTAGTAGGTGTCTACAACAATGGCTATGTCTAAAACTATGTCTGACGGGTTTGACTTCTCTTTTGTAAATCATGGAAGACGTAATGTCCCATCTTGTCTAAAATTTGTTTTTTTTTTAAGTTAAAAGAAGAACATTTTTTTGTTTGTAAGTTTTGGGAAATTTTGATAAATTGTAGAGGTTTGAATAGTCAACTCATTTCGAGCGTTGTTATGAAAGGAACAGTTTGAGATAAAGTGTATTTCATCTTCCACAGTCTTTGCACTACGATATTTACAAAATCTTTCACATACAGGTAGTCTTAAGAACTATGCATGTCATTTTTTTTAATCAGCTTTTTCACTAAGTGCTTTCTAGAAATGAAAACACGATACAAGTTTTAAACAATAAGATATTACATTAATCATTTGAGCGACTTTGCTGAAAAACTATTGACAATCAGGCTATAATATGTACTACTTACCAACGCAAGTTGTTCCTTTGGGTTCAAATCCGGCAGCACATATGCAATTAAAACTTCCTTGATGATTTTTGCACTTGTTTTTTGTTGATCCACACGGGTAAGGGCTCTTATGGCATTCATTGATGTCTAGTTGAAATACAAAAAATAAGTGGAATTATTATTTTAAATTATATGTGCTTAACGTCCTCAAAATGCAACTTATTGATGTGCGTCAACCTGGCTAAATAAAACCTGTATTTGTACCCAATTTGCACAAGACCAGCTTTGGTGACCACTTTGCAAAATTTCCTGAGTGATTTCTACAACCCTGTGAAAATCTTCCCGTTCAAATAATGGAAGCCTATAGGTAGCATGGATCAAAGCTTGAATTATTATGATAAGTTCTAATACTACGTATATCCTGGGTACTGCAGGATTCCTTGTGATGTTGCTTGACAATTAATACTCTAGTTACAAAATCATGCCCAGTGTCAAATAATGTAAAAGTAGAACAACATAGAGCATTTTTAAATAGTAGTAGTTAAAACTACTGTCTGTTCATCTTAATTATACTGTTACTACTACGTTTGCTATTGCAAGAGTTGACTTTGAGTTTTATGATCTTAGTAGAGACATGACAGTCTTTTGGTGATCTTCTAAATGGTAAAAGAATTATAGAAATTGTGGCAATAGTTTTCTGGAATAAATTGTTTCTAATATACTATCATGAAAGTTCATCTGTGTATGTGTAGCTACATGTTTAAAGTTAAAACTTTTGATCTAACGCAAAGAAGTTCTCTCACCTAGAGCTTTCGACCAGTCGCTCTGGTCTTCATCAGTAGAATGACCACTTCAAAAAAGCCACCTGACAAGCCTCACTGGGTCAGTCTATCGAATTCTGAAGAAGACCAGAGTGACCGGTCGAAAGCTCTAGCCTCTGGGTGAAGAATCTTCTTTGTGTTGGATCAAAAGTTTTAACTTAAACTTGTTTCTGATCTTGATTTACCTTCGTTACATGTTTGACCCGTCCATCCGGTGTGACATTTACATGTGAACGTTTCCGGATTGTTGCGGTCCGGAGAACATATGCCTTCTTTGCAAGGATCCGGTTGACATGGGTCCACGACCTCTGGAGCACAGAAAAGTACAAGAAATAACAGAAATTTGCAGATTAGAATGCCCACTCTTTGCCTCATGAGGCCATGTGGATTTGATTATATTGATCTGTTTATTAATTGTTCGAAATCACATAGCAGCGCTAAGGCGCTGAATTGCGTACAAGTTTGCATTAAAAACTACACATAACAAATACAAAATCCACATTCTACAACATTTATAATGTTTTTCAAAATTTGTTTGCAAGTTGTTGTGAAGTGGTCAGTTACCATTCTTTTTGCAAATGCGAAATAAAAACCTATTCAGAATATGCACACAAAAACGAAGTTAAAGACTTACCCTCCGACCAAGTTTCATGCATGAATATCCATAGCTTAGCTTCGTGAATTACACATCCAAACGCTACTAAAACATAAACTTCTAGGCGAAGAGAAACAAGACGATCAGGTAGTTTGATGACTCAAGAATGCATGTGTTACTTACCGACTTCGCATCTCTCTCCCTTCCAATCTTTGGGGCAGGAACAGGTGAAGTCTTCGCCGTTTTCTTTGCATATCCCATCATTCTGACACGGATTCACAAAGCACGGTTTACCTATGACATAATGTAACACACATATCGACGTCATTCAACACAGGCAGCCGGGGATAGAACATTTCATTTGGTTGTTTATATCCGCAGTAATGAAAAATCATCTGCAATCCTTCTGCTTCAACCCTCAGGGCAATACGGTCTTACCACATTATGCTTCGGTCCCAATTGAAAAAAGGGGCCCTGCCGGGTAGTCTCCGGGCTGTTTTGGGACACTTTTGGGCGTGACCCGTACGTGGCCCCGCGGGACACCGTGCGGCCACCGGGTTATTTTTGGGCCCGGCGGGGACCCGAAAAGAATTTAAATCTACCCGGGCTTCGCTGACAAAAAGACGCCATAACCTCATTGTGAGAACACCGAGAGGTACCCCTCCGGTTGCCGGCAGTCCACCGGGACACATTTGTTACGTCACAGACCAGATGAACAGAATAAAGGTGTGTACTTCGTAAACCCGGGTGAAATGTGTGACGTCACAGATCAAATGATCACAACAAAAGCGTGAATTCTGCATACGTATAGGTCAATACAAGACATCGTCAGAGAATCTCCCGGGTACCTGCCGGGTGCCTGCCGGAGACCGACCAAAGAGGGTGACAAAATTTTTTTAACAAAATGCTACTGAAGGAAACTTTTAATTGTAACCACGACAGCCGGTGCCCTCCCGACTCCTGAGCCCGACCGGGGCCGGCCGGGGCTACATCCCCGACGGGCACCGACGCAATTGGGACCGAAGCTCAAGTGGGGATTCTATGGGAAGAATGTGGTCCGTGATTGAGCTTGTATCCCGTTGTATGCTGCAACGTGATTTTTCGTCTATTCTATGAAAAGCACAAGACTGTTTATCAATAATGGAATTATAAAATAAATGTTTGTATTACGCTGACTCACGTTTCTCGCAGTTGTCTCCCTGCCGGTCCGCTGGACAGTTGCAGAAGTAGCCCGCGTCGTTGTCGAAGCACTCTCCGCCATGTTGACAGGGGTTGGAGTCGCACGGTTCGGCCTGGGTGGTAGTGGTGGTGACTGCAGGCGTGGTCACTCTACTGTCCCCACCGTTCAGTTCAATAAGTTCTGTACGTGTATAGAAATTAGAATAAAGAATATAACGTTATATATCTTGTCGAAAAAAATAGAATGAAGATAAGGAACAGGCGGGATGTGAAGATCCCATCTATTCCATCTATACTTACTAATTACATGTAGATATTCTAGACAAAGGTAAAAACTCGGAGATCGGGTAGTTTTATGACTCGGAGCCGACAATGAGCGTGCTGCAGCTGCTTACCGTGATGGCATCTCAATCCCCACCATTCGGAGGGGCAGAGGCACATAGGCATGTCTGGATCACTTTCGAAGACTTCGCATATCCCACCATTCAAACAATAACCACTAAAACGGTCTCCGCAACGTGAATATCCTGGGTAATAATGGACATATCGAAAATGTAGCTACAGTATACGAGCGTAATATCTTTAGATTTAGCTCGATAGGCGATTAATGAATGCAGACCTTTATTGTACACACATACCCACTGGGTTAATTAAGTATATATATATATATATATATGTCAATTATGTTAATTAAGTACAGGTCACAAAAAGGATGGAATACAGATAACGTTACATCTATACATGGTCAAGTAGCTACAATCAAGTAAATTCGGTTTCTTCTCGTTTCTTAGTAATGGCAAAAAGGTAAGAACAGATATGTTTCAATACAGAGGGTTTGTCTATGCTCATTAGAAATATAAATTTATCTGTACAGCTTAGATGTATAAAGAAGGGGAACATAGATTGTATCGGATTATAAAGATCTTATTTATTAATAAAGCATAGTCTGCGTGGCCTTTCAAAATGCACGTTTAAGACAGGAGGTCGAACAATGTGGGTGTTCTGTAGTTTTTGACCCGGTTGGGGGGAAAGAATCGGTCTGGGCACCAATTTTTTTGACCGTGTGCAATAGGGAGTGGGCGTGGCTCAAAAAGCACGAGGACCCACGGTATCAAATGCTTTCTTAGTATAAATGCATGTTACCGCAAAGTACTCGTTGCGACACCTCGAGGTTTTTTTATAACAAAGTGCTAAGCCTACATAACATTGCCAGATTTACTCATTAATTTCTTAATTCAAAAGAATAATTGCCATAATAATACAAGACACCGTTTCTGGCTTTGAATAAATCTTCTATTACATGTCTTAAAATCAAACAACCCTCATCAAAAAAATTAGTCTTTCAGGCGGACCAAATCTTTCAGAACGCCTAGAAATAATCGGTCCGCCCTTCTGAAAATCGCAATGTTGCCCTAAAATGTCTTATGACCCTTGTTGTTTTGCTATATCAAGACCGAGGTAAATTTGTTTGAATCATTGTCAACCGATTTGCATAACGTCGACTCGTCCATGTACATGTCAAGTTGTAATCAACGGACACAAACGGCATGGGGCCAATGCCCAAATATGGGCACCAGGTGCACCCAGTTTGGAGATGTGGTCACTGATTGGCTGTTCCCTTAATTACTTTACTGCTGAATGAACACCTGTGCATGCTTCTACATACTTATAACAGGAATAGTTACTATGTTTTTTACAAGTATTAGCCAGGAAAAAAGTCTTTTGGGTTGTAAATCGGTAGAAACATGTTGTATAACCTACATTTCTATATACCTTGCTATTTTTTAAACCAAAGTGTAAAATCTTTAAACCAAATAAGCTGCTTTCCTCTATTCGTCCTGCTGATTGGCTGTTGAGATCTAATTGGGTTAACTGTATTAAAACCTGCACATAGCCATACCATATGGCAGTATTGGTCCAGCAACATTAAATAAAATATGGATTTTGGACTACCCAAAATCTTCACTTTATGAAAAGGATGTCGGCATTCTACAAAGCCAATATTGAACGCAGTCTAATGAGCACAGGGGGATACGCAGTTGCAACTGGCAAATTTGCAGCACTGTATCGAACCTTATCAAGCTAAGTTCAAGAATAAAATGTGTAGCTAGCAAAACGTTTAGCAAGTTCAGGTAACATCTGTGTCCATAATATCACCAGGGTCCATAATATCACCACCTTGAGAAACAGTGTGCTTAAAGATATGTTTATACTGCAACATACTTTTGGTACGCACTCCTTCACACATCAAAAGTATATACCTAGGGTATGTTGCAGTAAAAGTATCTTTAAGCACGCTATTTCTCAAGGTGGCGATATTACGGACCCTGGTGATATCATGGACAAGTATTGCATACAAGAGAGTTTTCTATACCTGGCTCCTCTGCTCCCTCCGCGTCGCTTGCTGATACAGTGGTAGACTCTATCGGATAGAGAGAAAGAACCGTGTTTGAATTTACGCCATAGATACATGTACGTGCAATAGTGTTCAACAAACGGAATATTCAGTACACAGAAATTACTTGAAATACTGGGTGCATGTGCACCTTAGTGCACCCAAATTTGGAGCTGTGCATCCAATTTATTTCTGTGGCCTGGGTGCAGCAGTGCACCCAAATATTTTTGTAAGTTGTAATATGTAAAGATGTTCAATGTTATATACAGCATATTCTTAACTTCTAAGTGTCAGAAAAATAATAAAATCTTTGTCATGGTACTTTTCTTCCTGTGCAGACTCAAAATATAATGCGATAGGGCGAAAACAAAACAAGGCGGGCCCAAAAAACAATATTCCTACATTTTTAAATTTTGACATCATAAACCTTGTTCAACAAAAAATGATACCAATATCGTGCTATTTTTACTGCCAACTATTACAACATCCATTTCACACTGAAACAGCTTTGAAAAACAAAAGGTTTCAATCATTTTACAAATGGTTTTGATTCAGTAGGAACATCACATATACACAGCCGCCATCACGTTTAAAAGGAATTGAATACATCACTGCATCAAAGTAAAAGACAAAACATTAAATCAGAGCCTTGTCTTGTCTATACTCTCTGCATATTTATCTGCCATCTACGTTCCGGCACGGCAACAGACTTCTTTGGCCATTTTCCGCATGTTGACCACGGCCAAAATTAGGCGAAAATTAATGCACGCGCTGATTAAGTACTTGCTGTGGCCTAAACGTTGTCGTCGATTTCTTCCATGGTGTAACATTTGTGAGCACTATCTTTGAAATACCAACAGGGTGATAATTTAAAATAACTAACAGCAATTTGTACAACCAAGGAGGTTATTTCTCCTATTAACTGTCCTTAGTACAGCCGCCCTGGAATTGGCACCAATCGTTGAAATACAGGCAGATTTGTCAATTAGTCGGATCATAGTGTTAAAGAGCCCCCTACACCCCATGATGATAAGTGTTCAAGTATGCCTGCACATTTTGGCTTAGCCTATAGATATACTAGTAGTAATTCTACCGTAGCGCTTTCAGTGTATACAAGGAAGACTACGCCGTTCTAAACTCACTACAGCAAACCGTCTGTTTTCTTGCTAACTCTATTGAAAAAGGCACCCGGCAAAACCTTACATTGTCCTTCCACGACAACATGGAATCGTGTTCGAGTATTGTATTCTATTGTAGCGCTTTCTGTGTATACAACGAAGACTACGTCGTTCTAAACTCATTACAGCAAACCGTCTATTTTCTTGCTAACTCTATCACAAAAGGCATAGAAACAAACCTTACCTTGTCCTTCCACGACAACATGGAATAGTGTTCCAGTATTCCTGCTACTAGTGTTCAAATAGTGATTCT